GCTTCATTTAAATTTACATGGCTGCCGTGCTGAGCCGACAAACAGCTGATCAGCTGTTTGTTGGCTCAGCGCGGCAGCCATGTAAATTTAAATGAAGCCGCGATCATTTAAATCGCGGCTTCATTTGACTTTGCCTATGTGTCTAATCTACATGCCTCTGACGACAGAGGCATGTAGTCTAGACACAGCCTTAGTGATGCCATTAGAGAGATTTACACTGGAGCAACCATAACTTTACACAGGCCCTAACTGCCTACCGTGCCCTCCTCTTTAACTGTCCAAGGCTGGGATTCCTGAAAAAATTAGGAAGAACGGCTCTTGTGCAAGAGGGGTTTTGAGCAAAAAGGAGCCATTTACACAGTTCCTTTTTGTGCAAAAGCCTCTTGTGCAAAAACAGCCCCTAATTAATTATGCAAATGAAGCATGGCAATTTGCTAATCTACACTTCATTTGCATAGGCTTTTGCACAAGAGAGGCGCAGTGTAAATGTAGCCCTACTGTGGTTCACTGTCCCATGTAGTGGCACTTAGACTACGTACAGCAAGAGATAAGCTCAAGGGAGCTCTACAGCCTAAGCTGCGAGCCAGCTGGCTTTATAGCTCAAGCTGTACTGACTCCTTCACTAAACTCCAGAAGTCCCAGGTTTGAGTCTGGCTGGTGAAGGTTACACCTGGACAATGGGATATGCCTGGAGTGGAACTGTTTTCCATAACACGGAAAGGGAGGGGGCTGATAGGAGGGACGGTTAGTTATACTGTAAAGTGACCACTGCAGAGGACAGCAGAGCGATCACAGGGGGTTAGCTGCACCAGGAAGAGAGTGACCAGCTCCCCATGTTTCTAGCCACAGGCCCAAGTAAGTAGCCCCATGCCTCAAACTCCTCAATGCTGGATGGGGGGCAGCCAGCAGCCCCACTGCCCTCAAGCAGCACTTCCAGGGGCTGGGACTGGGCCACACAGCCCCAACTCCCCCCACAGGCAGCACTGCCAGGGGCAGGTATGGGCCACTCAGGCCCACCCCCCCCCAAGGAGTCCTGCATCCTCAGTCCCCCAGCCCCCTAGGAGAAGCCCTGCCACTGGCTGGAGTTGGGCATTGCAGCTGTGCCCTCCTGGGAGGACCCGGTGGCTGGAGCTAGGCACCACAGCCTCACCCCACAGGAGGAGCCAGAGGGTGGCAATTGCAGTGCTGGTGAACCTCCTGGTGAGCCCCCCCAAGTTGTCCCAGACTGCTGCCCTGAGCCCCCCCACTCCTTGCCCTGACTCCTGCACCCCCCTCCTCCCGCCCACACTGCCAGCCTCCTGCCCTGAAGAATACGAGCAATATCAGGCCAGTCTTCTAGTTCATAAATCAAAGGTGGGGCAGGCTAAGAAAGAAACGCTGTACCGTCGTGGGCTGGTGAGTACATTGTGTTTCTCCTCTGTACTTTTAAACCCTAATCAATTCCTTTCCTGCATTCTTTTGGTTCTGTGTGGGTGCATTGCCTAGAACACAACAGAGTCCTTGCCTATGATGCTACCATTGAACAAAGAATAAACAATCACAATGAA